TAAGGATCTCTTTGAAAGGGTGTGGAACAGACACTTTTTGTTCTGTGAAACAGAAGACAGAAGGGAGTCACAGTTTGCGTTCCCCTTCTGTTTTCTTTTTTGGGGTGTGTGTGGGGGGGGTGCAAGGCGAGAGAGTGCTGGTGGGAAGATTTTCCTTTAAGTCAGGGATCATTTAATCACGTTGGCTTTGTCTCGGAGGGTATAAAGCAGTGCTGCTGAGGAGAAACGACCCCGGCCTGCCCTCTCGCCTGCCCCTCCTTGTACCGCTGGTACGCTGCTGGAGGACAGGAAAATCAGTTTGGGCTGTTGATGGTTGCTGTCTGTTGAAAACAGTGTGCTTGCCTGTCTTCAATAAGAGGAAGGCAATAGTTTTAGGACCTGACACAGTTTGGTTTTAGTTGGAAGCCATGAAGGCCATGAGACAGAACCCCCCAAACAATCGCTTTCTGGTACAGTGTGAGAGTAACAAAGGTCATTTGCCAGCCACATTTGAAAAGCTCAGCACAGCATACCCTGGGAGGGCGGGGTAAGAACACACACTTTGGGGGTGTGACTTTGAAGTCTTGTAAAGGCTGTGCAAGTTGAGCTTGTGCTGGATCTCAGTCACAGCAGCTTAGCTTGGGTTTGGGAGTCTCATCAGCAAAACAGCTGCCCTCTACTTGGTTTTGTTCAGCAGAGTCCACACAATGCTGTAATTGTGGGGATAATGTTGTTGGAATTCAGGAATGAAACTGCAACCCCCAGCATGCCTCTGGAGGCCACGGCACTGGAAAAGGAAATATCCCACCCGTGGCCAGTGTTCCCTGTAAATGTGAGGGTTTTAATAAAACGATATCAAGATGCACGTGTATTTTCTTTATCCAGGCTTCTGCCAGGATGTGAGGTTTAATCTTTGGGGCATTTGGTATATGTTGAATTCTTTTCACGTAGACAAGTTTTTAGAATGAAAAGAAAAAAAAAAGAAAAGAAAAATTCTCTCATTTCCAGTTCCATTTTTGGAAGCTTGCTTGACTTTCAAGTTTGTCTCTGCTGTGGGTTTATAAAACTCAGCTTAGGAGCTGAAAACCTGGAGAATGACTGGATTCAGGGTGGTATTGCCTCTTTGTACAGAAGGAAATGATGAAGTGACTTGGGTACCATGTGAATGTTGGGTGGGAGAGAGACTGGGTATTGAGCAAGCAGGGAAGGGGCTGGGATGTCCGCTGGAATAGCCCTACAAGAGTTGGAGAATTAGTTCATCTTGTGCTCAATTTCTGCACATGTTAGTTTTGGGAATGTAGACTACTAGAGAGTGCACACACCGATTCAAGCAGTCATATGTGTTAGCTTCTTTAGTCTAAAGATGACCCAAGGTGATAGTAGAGCAGGGTACTGATCAGACACTAAGGGTGATCAGACATGGAGGGCTGGGGTGGAGATGGATCTAGAAGACACAGGAACCAAGGAATCGTTAAACAATACTTTACAATCACTTTTAGGTTCTATTCTTTTTGTTTGGTTTTCTTGTACTTTGGGTTTGACATATGGTCTTGCTACATAGCTTGTCTGGCCTAAAAAATAATGCATAACCTAGGCTGACTTCAAAGTTGTGATAATGCTCCTGCATCTGCCTCCCAAGTGCTGGAATTATAACTATATACCATTATGCCTGGCTAGGTTGTGTCATTCATTATTTAGCTAACTGAAAGCTTTCTTTCCCTTTCTTATCACTGTTTCAAAGTGGATTGTGCCAGAGCAAAGGGGGCACAAACCTGCGTTACTGGGTCCCGCCCATAAAGTGCCCAGACACAGTAGGTCTGTAGTTCTCTTTCTTAGTTGTGTCTTTGTGTGGCTTGGGTACCCAGGTAATTGTAGCCTCGTAAAAAGAGTTTGGCAGTGACCCTTGTGCTTCTATTGTGTGGAACACTTTGAGGAGTATTGGAATTAGCTCTTCTTTGACTTCCTGGTAGAATTCTGCACTGCTCCAAAAAACACGACTGTGTTCTCTGATCATTTCTCATATACAAATGCTCCAAGGCTCCTGGCCAAACAGAAAGAATAGAGCAAATTTCTCTGTGGCCACTTTCCTGAGTATATATGCTCTACTGTGACTATAGGCTGGCCGCTGGGCTGAGAGGAAACAATGTATGATAAACACACACACAGAAACACACCCTTAACTTTTAATTTTTTTAGACAAAATCTCCCTGTGTCCTCTGAGGCTGTCCTTGTACTAGCAATCCTCCTGCCTCAACCTCCCTTCTGCTAGAATTACAAGAATGCTCCACTGCACCAGAGTCTCACTCTATTCTGTGTGCAGGCATGCCTGCTGTTCATTCAGCCTAGATTGAAAGATAGGACCAGCCAGGCGGTGGTGGCGCACGCCTTTAATCCCAGCACTCGGGTGGTAGAGGCAGGCGGATCTCTGTGAGTTCGAGGCTAGGCTGGACCGACAGCTTCCAAAACAATACAGAGAAACCCTGTCTCGTAAAGCCAAAAAAAAAAAAAAAAAAAAGGATCAAAGCCTGCATAGTAGGCTCCCAAGTCTTCTTCTCTGGGTCTTCTAAGGTCATAAGTAAAGGTGGAGTCTGGCGGGAACAGGTACGTTTGGGTGTCTGATGAGATAGAATCTTTTAAACAGAGAGGAAACAGTACAGTCATCACCAAAGGCAGAACAAAACTTTCTGAAGGTGCTGTTTTTCTATAGGGGACCTAAAGTATTGTTGCTTTTTATTGAGCAAACAAAATGAGCTCAAGTGGAGCTGATACCCCCTCCTTCCTCCTCTCCCCTCTTCTCCCCCTCCCTCTTCTGTAGTAACAACTGCCCTCTCTGAGTCTTGGAAAAGTGCTGATGAAATCTGGTGGTTTTATTCATGCCTTAATTTTTCTTAACTTACTGCTTTCTAAAAGTGCCTTGATGCATATGTTCACCCTCAATCCTCAGCCCTTTGTAGGGCTTGCAGTACTTTTCTCTCTTGTGATAATGGCTGGAGCACTCAACATGTTTGCAATTAGATTTACCTTAAGTTTAAAATGCAAAGACACGCATTTGCCTTAGAAAAATTAGCAGATCTTTCTAACGGATTTTGAAGAATATATTTTTTCTCCTTCCCTCCCTTCCTTCCCTGGTTTTGCATATATAGCCCAGGATGTCCTTGAACTCTTATATGTAACCAGGGATGATGACCTTGAACTCCTGATCTTCCTATCTTATTCTCTTTAGTGCCGACATTATATACCTTACCTTGCTTCTAATGTTTTAGGTAAAATCCACCTTCTTATCTTCTCTTTGTTTTTTCCTCTTTTTCCTCTTATTGTTCAGGCTGAGGATCGAGTCCAGGACCACACACATGCAAGACAATTGCCTTACCACTAAGTCATGCCCACAGCCCTTACAGAAGTGTCTTCTGTGACAGATCAGAGACTTGTTTCAAAAGGAATGTGGTGTCTGTCATTAAAGTTGGCCAGACAGAAAGAGCAGAGCAACTTTCTCTGTGGCCACTTTCCTGAGTAAATGTGTCCTACTCTGGTTAAAGACTGGTTTCTGGGATGAGAGGAAAAAATGTATGATAAGCACGCGCGCACGCGTGCACGCACACACACGCACACACACCCCTCCCTCCCTTTCGGTCCTTGAAGTTGACACTGGAGATTTAATGTCTGTTGTGTCTCCAGTGTTACACCTTGAACTTAAAGTCTGTTTTCTTACTTAGTGCTGATTTAAAATAGGTAAACGGGTCAGAAAACACCTCACGGCCACCTTGGCAAAACCTTGGACTTTTAAGTCTTCAAAAAAGTGTTATCAGTTAACTATTCTTGTTATTGTGACCAATGCCTGATAAGAAAAAGCTTAGAGAAGAGGGTGTATGCTGGCTCACGGTGTTCAGGGATCCAGTCCACCATGGAAAAATGGCATGGTGGTAAGAACGGTCACATTGCATCCATAGTCAGGACTCTGAGGGCAGATAGGAAGTGGAGCTTCCCCCTCCCCATGAGGTACTTCCTCCAGTGGGGCTCCACCCACTAATGATACAGCAACCTTCAAAAAGTAGCATCAGCAGTTATGGACTCAAGAGTTCCAACACGTCAGCTTGCAGGGGGTGTGCTGCATTTAATCCACAGCAGGAGGGCGTGCCAGACAATATACTCTTCCTTTTAGGGACGTGCTGAAGATCAGGAAAGGAGACCCAGTCAATAGACTTCCTGGCTCCGTAGGGTGTGTTTCTCAATCTGTGGGTCACAAAACTTGTGGGGTCATGTATCAGATGTCCTGCATACCAGATATCTACATTATGATTCATAACATTAGCAAAATTACAGTTATGAAGTAACAATGAAAATAACTATGGTTTGGGGTCACCACAGCATGGGGAACTATATTAAAGGGTCACAGCATCAGGATGGTTGAGAACCACTGTCTGGGAAGGAGAACATTTGAAGGTTTGAAGGGACTTGAGAAGGGACTGTTGGATTTATCATTTTTTTATCTTAGTTTTTTGAGACAGGATTTCTCTGTATTGCTATGGTGGTTATCCTGGAACTCACTTTGTAGACCAGGATAGCCTTGAACTCACAGAGATTTGCTTGCCTCTGCCTCCCAAGTGCTGGGATTAAAGGCGTGTGCCACTAATGCCTGGCCTTATTTATCTTTATTTTTTTTGTGTGTATGAGTGTTTTGCTTGCATGTATGTCTTTACACGACATGCATGTGTGATACCCAAGGAGGCCAGAAGAGGGCAACAGACCCCCTGGAAATGAAGTTTTAGATGGTTAAGAGCTGCTGTGTGTGTGTGCTGGGAACTGAACAAGTATTGTTAACCTCCAAGCCATTGTCCCAGCCCTGGGTTTACTACACCATGTGAAGGCAGCATTCTCCTTCTGTTGCTCATCCCTTCTCCAAACACTCAACTGAGGTGGGAAAAAATCTGAATTTCAGAGTTATCTTGGTATAGACTCCTGAAAAAACAAAAACCTATTGTACATAGCAAAGCACTGAAAATGTCTGTTCTCTGTCTCCACAGGTTAACTTTGTGGCTTGCCAGCTCTTTGCCTTGTCTGCTGCTTTCTGGTTTAGAATTTACTTACATCCTGGCAAAGCCAGCCCCGAGGTCCGTCACGCATTGGCCACCCTTTTGGGTATTTATTTCGTTGTGTTTTGTTTTGGCTGGTGAGTATGAACCACATAAATTCTAATGTTTATCACTTAGATGCTTTGTGATGATATTCTTGATAAGAAATATATGGCATTGTAAAATACCTCCTATACTGAAGGTTGTGAATGTTGTAGATACCTTATTGTGAATTAAGGAGGGTTATCCTGGGAACTTTCACTCATGTTATAGACAGGAACCAACAAAGGGGCTAACCATTGAAAGTCAGTGCTGTTTTTCTGCTTCTTCTTAAGACTATACCTTTACAGACCTCTTTGAGTCATGCAAACAGAATGCTATAAGGTTTAATTCTTCCCAAGAGGGGACTCCTCCCTAATCTTTACAGATGTTGGTGTGTTTCTTGTCTTGCTGCTGGAGACATGGTGTTAGTCCAAAGGCTACAAGTGCAGGAATTAGGGACATGAGTCATTCTCACAACAGATGGATTGTTAATCTTAGTACAGAAGCCTCCTAACATCCAAAGATGGCAAATACCTAGGGAGTAGCACTTCTTGGGGTGCATGCATTAGAGACTGACATTTCTAGAATGTTTCTTCAAGGAAATTTGTGAGTTTGGTCAGGGTACCAGGAAACTGCTCTAACCCTGCCACAAACCTTTGGGAAAGGATGCAGATTTGGAATCACCACTGTGCTAAAACAACAACAACAATAACAAAAAACCCTGGTATATATATATGGAGAAGGGGATTTTGGTACTGGTACTTTGAAACTTAGGAAAATAACTTTGAGACTTAAAAGTTCACCCAAAACAATTCCTTTTGGGTTTTCAATTTAATATAGATGTAAACATCCTCACTGACTCACTGATTCCAGACATTCCTATGGCTGCTTCTGCAAACCATGCCCAGGTTTCTCAGTGTCTTTTCTGAGATACAGTGTTTTGGTTCTGTAGAATAATACTCCCCTTTCCTTGTGTCTTAAAGGTATGCTGTGCATCTCTTTGTGCTGGTGTTGATGTGCTATGGAGTCATGGTCACTGCAAGTGTATCCAATATTCATAGGTAAGATTCTGAGATATAGCAGTGTGTGGGGAGGAATTTGTGGTCTTCTGGGGGAAATTTGTTTTGCTTATTCCCCATGAGTGATGTGTCTGAGCTTCTTCAGGATGTCAGACAACAGGCAGGATAGGAATCTTTAAAAAGGGCTTTATGGGAAAAGGATGCAAAATGGGATTCAGTTGAAAGAAGGTTTATGCATTCATCAGGCAGCCTCAATCGGGGCACAACTTAGATATCCACCACATTAGAGTATGATGCAGCTATAGGAAGGAGTAACTCTGTAGATATGGCATGGCATGCTTGCTTCTAAAAATTAATGCGTTGAATGAAGGGAGCCACCCATTCTGTGTTTCAGAAAACCCAAGCTAATCTATGGTGTGGGATGGTATCAAGAGATGGGGCAAAGGTCATGAAAGGAAGCATTCAAAAATGATCAGGTGTGAGGCAAAGTCTATTCTCAGATTTGCGTACAGTTTTCTGAGTGCATATATCAAACTCACTAGTTGTATACTTTGAATATGTCAATATGTATATTACACAAGAGAACTACTCAACGAGAAAGCTAAGTTTTGCTGTGATGTTTGCTTTCAAGGCACAGAAGTTGTTTAATTCTTCCGTGAAGTCTGTATGATCACATGATCAGCAGGTAGACTGCCGGTGGGTGTTTTACAATGTCTGTCTGAAAATTCAGTGTTGATTCTGCCTTGTGGACTCTAGAGCCTTATAGGTTTTTTTTAAGTTTCTTTTATTAAAACAGTTTATTTGGAGGGCTAGAGAGAAGGCTCACTGGTTAAGAAAGGTTATATACTGCTCTTCCAGAGGAATCAAGTTCAGTGGCTCACAACTGTCTGTAATTCCAGCTTCAGAGAACCCAGCTTTTGGCTTCCATGGACACCTGCATTCATGTACATGTACTCACACATACACACAACTAAAAATAAAGTAAATCTTTAAGATTTTATTTTTGTTTGTATGTATGCATGTGCCTGTGTGAGTTAATGGCCCCCACCTGGTATAGGTGCCTGAGGAGGTCACTGGATCCCCTGGAACTGGGGTTATAGATGGTTATGAACCCCATGATAGGGATGCTGGGAACCAATCCCTGTCAGAGCAGCAAGCAACCTTAACTGCTGAGCCATCTCTTCAGCTGCAAGCGTGTTTTGTGACTATATAGACTTTTATCTTTTACTTATGTTGCATTTTCAGCATTTAGAACAATTCCTGGCACAGGCAACAGTGAAGGCTCAGTAAGTATTTATGAAAGTAATGGCCAGGGCGATTTGAAAAGATACTTGCAGGCTGAGTATGGTGGTGCATTCCTTTAATCCCAGGACTCATGAGTCAGAGGCAGGAGGATCTCTGTGACTTTGAGGCCAGCCTCATCTTCAAAGAGAGTTCCAGGACAATCAGGGCCACACAGAGAAACCCTGTCTCAAAAAAACAAAAACAAAAACACTAAACCCCAAACACAACAAAACAAACAAACAAACAAAACCAATACTTGCACTTCCCTGTTCCTGGCTTCTCTGAGAAGCCCCCCTTTTGGCCTCTGACAGCCCCCTTGATTAGTAAGACCATCACCACCCTTCTTAGAAACACTGACATGTAACTTTTCAATATATAATTTTGTAGTCACAATAAAATTTTCATTTTCAGAGGAAAGCCTCTTTACATGCTTTTAAGCTCCAAAGTCTTCCACCTTTGTATCCAAATGAGCTGTGGAAATGTGGTTTCTAAGCTCTCTCTCCTCAGTGCTCTCCTTGAAAAGACAGTATTGTTCCTTCGGGAAGAAAACTGGGAGGTCTGTTTTACTAATTTGAAAAGGATGAGTTTGGTAAATGCTTTACATGATATGTGTAATGCTTACAAAAGTCAGGGTGTGGAGTGGGGGCTAATGAGATTGCTTGCCTTCTTAACACATGGTTTTGAGCATTAATTAAATCACTGGTTCTCAACATTCCTAATGCCATGACTTTAATACAGTTCCTCATGTTGTGGTGACCCCAAGCATACAATTATTTTCGTTGCTGCTTCATAACTGTAATTTTGCTACTGTTATGAATCATAATGCAAATATCTATGTTTTCTGATGGTCTTAGGTGACCCCCTTGAAATGGTCTTTAGATGCCTGAAGGGGTTGTGGTCCGCAGGTTGAGAACCATGGAATTAAATGATTAGTAATCATGTTTCGTTTTATAGCACATTTCCTTTCCTTTTTTTCTGTTTAGTCACCTTGGTGTTTTTATTTTATTTCTAAAAATTTTCATACACTTTTTGGTCATGTTCTTCCCTCCCAGTTCTTCCCAGATCGCTGTTCCTACCTCCTTACTTCATATCCTTTCTCTTAAACAAACAACCAAAGCATGAAACAAAATGGAAAACAAAAAGTCCCCAAACTTCATGGATTCTAGTTTGTGTTTGTCAGCTATTTTCATGAGCACACAGCCTGCCCTGTGTGAGTAGTGGAAGAAAACTAGTTTTCTTTCTCGCACTATTTATCAACCGCAAATAGCTTCCTGGGCAGGAGTAGGCCTCTGCTGGTTACCTGTGATAACCTGCCAGTTCCTCTTCTCACTGACATGACACTGTTGGGGCACATTCTGGTTTTTAGAGGGTCCAAAAACTTATATGAGCTCTTGTTTCATGGCAGGCCTAGGCTTCTAGGTTCCACTCTGGAGTCTGGAAATGGGACAAAATCAACCTAAGTGGAGATGGGCGGTTCACAGACAGACAGTGATGTTCACCATAACAATTTTGTGGTAATAGAAGACTCTGCTTTGAGAGTAAAATTGGAAGATGCCCAAACTTGTTCTTCCTCTTTTTGTTTGCTTGAATGGTTGCTAGTTTGCAGAAGTAGGGAGTGGTCCAGTTCCCAAAGGAAGAACTCCATGTAACTTAAACTATGTCCCAAAGTTGTTTTCCTCTCAGTTGTTTGAGGAAAAGAACAAGAGGCTGAGACTAGAAAATGTGAAATCTGGACAGGTGGGGTAGCCTGCCTGTGGTTAGCTTTCCCCACCTCATATGAGGTATGGGAAAGTTGTGTGATTATTTCTGAATGATTATGAATAACCCCTCCCATGTGTATGGATGTGTGTAGGTAGGTGTATGCATGTGGTACATGCATGTGTGTCCATGCATGCATGCATGCAGAGATCAGAGTAAAATGTCAGATGTTCTGATGTCCTCCTCTGTTGATGGACACCTCATTGGCTTGAGATACTGTCTCTCACTGAAACTGGGAGTTCACGATTTTTGTCTAGGCTGGCTGTCCAGAAAGCTTCTAGGATCTGTCTGTCTCTCCCACCCGCATCCCCCAACTGCTAGGGTTATAGACAAGTACAGCCATGACCAGTCTTTTACACAGGTGCTGGGATTTTGAATTCAAGTCCTCATGCTTGTATAGCAAGCATTCTTGCCTGCTGAGCCAGTTTCCCAATCCCCTTGAACAAATTTGGGAAGACAATAATCTTATGATCCCATCTAAACTGTTCTCCTTTTCATGTCCAGTGTTGAGAGTTCCATCTTGTGGCTCAGAAGAGATATGGAGAGGTAGTGTTGTTTGCTGTCTGCCAGGAACCTATTTCTGGCCTAACTGTTCCTCAGGATGTGTTGAGAGAGTTCTTAGGGTACCACCTCTGTTTCTATCTCAAAGGCACAGTAGTAGGCAGGGAGCATGGGCATCAGCTAGCTCTACCAGGATCAGCTGAAGCAGATCTGGTTCATATCTTCCAGGATGGAGGCCTTGTGTGACAACTGGTGATGTAGTTCATTGATTCTGGAGACCATGCTTTGTGCTACATCCTAGGCTAAGCTCCTTTATAATGTATTCTGTTATTCTCAATACATAAATGGTCAGTGTATCAGTTGATATTTGATTTCGTTATTGCTAACACAGTCTTTCTAAAACAATGTGTAGGATATAGATGTTCCTTTATTTTTTTGAGTTGAGGTAATGACTGCTTATGTAAGTAAATGCAGGTTGATGAATTTTTATAGGGAGAACATACCCAGTCAGGTCAACAAGAGAGCATTACTGTCTTGTTCTAATCTCTGCCACACTCCTCTTTCCAAAAATAGCCAATTTCTCATACCACAGATTGCTTTTACAAGTGCTGGGGTTTAAACTATTATTATTTTGTGTCCACAATATATGTTCTCTGCACGACACATGAATTCAGGTTCAGCCAGGGCAAGAATGCTATGTTGTGTTAGGATTCAGTATTTATCCCTGTCATTTGCAGCTGCAGTTTAATTACAACCACTGGATTGAATCTGTTTACCATGTCAGTCAGGGAAGAAACAGGTGGGACTATAGTTGACCTTGTTCTAGAAGATTCTGCTTTCTGTTAAGTCTGCCTTGTACTTCTGCCTTGAGCTTGTGAACTGTCTGGAGAAAGGGATGGGAAGCCAGAGGCAGCAAGGGTTCTCTCCTGCTGCTCTTGTTTCTCAGGGCATGTGTTCTTAGGTATTGGCTTTGTCGACTGCCTTCGTGGTTAGAAGGGATTGAAGATTGTGCGAAGGTGAGGGAGGCTGACTGTTCCTTATGGAAAGTGTTTTGGGAAGAAGTGTTTCCAGTTTTGAAGGCTTTAAGATTTTGGAATATGAGCATAGACCACAGTGGCGTGAATATTGAATCTGAAACCTTAATATTGCAAATGTTTTGCAATCTGAATCTTTTTAAGGACTGACATAACGCTCATTCTTATTTTTTAATTGAGTATTTTTTATTTTAGAACATTTCAGATTTTGAACTTTTGGGTTAAGACCATTTAACCCTCACTGTTTTTCTTTCTTCTTTTTGGTGATGCTGAGTAGCAGCCTCAGGTCTTTGTGCACAGTAGGCAAATGCCTGGCCATTGCCCTTCAGTTGCAATAAGTAAGATGAAAGAGAACCTAATGTTGTATAATGCTTTAGAGAACTCTTCATGCTCTCTTCCTGACTATTGTCCTTACTTTACTACTTCCTGGGCTGACCTAGAATTCATGAGTTATTTTAATATGAACATATGAGTCTCAGTACAATTTAATGTCAAAATATTCACCTTCCCTGGCTTATGACATATATTAGAAGTTACAGCTTTTGGATATATGTCTCTATCTGTTGGTTTCCTGAGACATATAAAATGCTAACTGTATTAATTTCTTCTAATAGCCATGATGCCCTCCCTACCCACAATCCACATGTCAGGCTAAGGACGGGAATGTTTAGGGTTCCAGTGAGTTGGGAAAGCAGATGTCCATGTGGATAATTGTAATTTATTAGTGTTCTGTACTAGAAGAATATAAACAACTGAGCAGTGATTTAGGTTGGGCTTGGGGAACAGGGGTGGTGTAAGAGGAAGGATGCTCTAGAGAAGCAAGACCAGTAGAATATGCATATATATTCAGACATGATGGTGTATGCCTTTAATCCCAGCACTTGGAAGGCAGAAGCAGAGGCAAATAGATCTCGGTGAGTTCCAGGCCAACCTGGTCTACATACAGTGAGTTCCAGGCCAGCTAGTTACAAAGTTTAAGTTATATGGTGAGACCCTGTCTAAATACACACACACACACACAGACACACACACACACACACACACACACAGAGACAGAGAGACAGAGAGAGACAGACAGACAGAGACAGAGAGAGAGACAGACAGAGACAGAGAAACAGAGAGGCAGAGACAGAGATGTAGAGACTGAGACAGACAGACAGTCACAGACAGACAGACACACACACAGACAGAGAACCTGGTAGGAATTTAGACATCTCAGAAGTGTCAGATTAGACACTAAAACCTGGAGCTTCTTGTATACAGAGCCCACACCGGAAGGCTGAAGAAGTTGGAGTCTGGTGATAACTGCACATGCTCAGAAATAAGCAGCTAGAACTGGAAAGATGGCTCAGCAGTTAAGAGTACTGGTTGCTTTTCCAGAGAGCCCAGGTCAATACCCAACATCCACATGGTGGCTCACAGCTACCTGTAATGCCAGTTCCAGAGATCTGATGCCCTCTTTTGGCCTCTGTGGAGACTACACAGCCATACATACAGATAAAACAGTCATACATATAAAATGAAATTAGGAAATGTTTAAAGAAAAGAAAGAAGTAGGTGTACAAATGCTGCTTTCTCCCTAGACTTTATATCTCTATTCCTGTTGGCATGGCCACCCACATTGAGGGCTGATCATTCCCTTCAGTCAATCTTCTCTGGAAGTACCCTCACAGATACATCCAAAAGTATATTTCCTCAGCAATTTTAAATGCAGTTAGGTTGATGATCATGATCAACCAGGGAGGATGTCTGAGCAAGTGATAGCAGAGAGGTGGCATTCTCTGAGCCTTGCCTGAGAACTGGGAAGTTTTCAGATGAGCTGTGGGATGAGGAAGGAGTGACAGGCAAAAGGAAGGGCATACAGGAAGGCATCTGGTCTGAAAACAAGATGCAGTTGTGAACCATGGGCAGGCCAGTGTAGTTGAGCATTAAATGGACGTGGACCATAGCTGAAGATGAGTCTGCAGAGGTGGAGGAGAACTTAGAGAGTGGGATTCCCCTTGCATGCTGTGGTCAGGAGTTTTAATTTGACTTGACACTGGGTTCATTGGGCATTTTAAAGTACTGTTCCCATACTTATTTGTACACTTAACACACAGTATGTGAATTTGGCTAACAAACACTAAGGGACATTTGTGCTTTCATGAAATGTACAGTCAAGAAAGGGGATAGTAGCTCATCAGAGTGTCTTAGTCTGCTGAGGCTAGCAACAAAGTACTCTAGCTAGGCTAGTTAGGTGGCTTATAAAGACAGAAATTAGTCTGTCATATCTCTGGAGGGTTGAAGCCAGATTCATCTAACCAGCCGGAACTTCTGGTAAGCATCTGTCTTCTTATAGTCCTTTATGGGAAAGCTCTCTGGATATTCCCCTGGCTTTCTCAGATTTGCCTCAAATTTCCTGTGTACCTGAGGATGACTTTGAACTTAAAATCTTCCTGCCTCAACCCCTCATGTGCTGGAATTACAGTTGTGTGCCACCACAACGGACACAGAAGGATCCCTTTTATAAACGTGCTGATCCCAATTGCCAGGGCTCTATCCTTATGACATAATCATCTCCCAAAAGCCGCAGCACCTGATACCATCACACCAGAGGTTCGGGTTTTGACATACACATTTGGGAGCATGCATTCTCTCCATTGCACAAATTATCATGTGTATTTAAAATTACAAGTTGATGAGAATACATATGTATGTAAATGTCTCTCAGTGTGCATGACACAGGTGTGTATTACTAGTTTATATGTCATATTGTTTGTGCCCCATCTCTCTGAAAAACATAGGGGTGTTGCTCACACATAAGCTGTAATGGATGCCTGAGGCGTGGGTAGGGGGGAATCGTGTACATATGGTAGTGATATGTATTTAGTGAAGGTCATCATATAATTGTAATGGTGTATGCCAAGAATGAGTCCAAGAATGTGCCCACGTATACCTGGTACCGATTAAACCAGAATAGCTAGAGGAAGAACCCGGGGATTTGTAGTTTGTAAAGCTGTTCCAGTTGATACCTTTTGCTGTTAAAGCTGTAGTCTGGGGAAGAAAAGATGAAGGGCTCAGAGGAGTGGGCACAAAGGGGAGATGGGATGAACTAGGATGTACCTGGGACATTCATGACTTTGTGACTAGTCACTTGTGGAGGGCGAGAGAGAGGACAGGGAGAGCGTTTATTGAGCACTTTAGTGTCATGCGCATTAATCTGGTTCCTGTGTTTTGGGTTTCAGGTATTCCTTTCTCGTAGCAATGGGCTACCTTACGATATGCCACATCAGCCGAATATACATCTTCCACTATGGAATTCTCACTACAGATTTTTCGGGGTGAGTATGTTCATGGGAGGGGGACATGTTTGACTGATGACTTTGACTAGGTCTCTCAGGGTCTATAAACACCAAGGACACATTAAGGAGTGTCATGACCAGCTAAATCACAGTGAGATGCTGTACTGATGAGGAGGTTAAAATTTTACTTGTTCTGTACAACTATTAACTCTATACATTGTAAGAAGGCCACAGATTACAACCCAGGAACCTCACCCCTCCCATTTTCTTTAGTCTTATTTGAACACAGGCATGTGATTATGCCTTTTCTGTAGCTGCTTTTGTACTACAATGGCAGTGTCGAGTAGATATGGCCCACAGAACCTAATGTTCAGTTTCCTGTCTTAGGGTTTTTATTACTCTGATGAAACACCATGACCAAAAGGCAGGTTGGGGAGGAAAGAGTTTATTTGGCTTAGCTTACACTACCAAATCACTGTTCATCATCAAAAGAAGTCAGGACAGGAGCTTAAACAGGGCAGGCACCTGGAGGTAGGTTCGGATGCAGAGGCCATGAGGGATGTTGCTCACTGGCTTGTTCCCCATGGTTTGCTCAGCTTTCTTATAGAACTCAGGACCACGAGCCCAGGGATGGCAACACCCTTAATGGACTGGGCCTCCCCTATCAGTCACTATCTAAGAAAATACCCTACAGCTGGATCTTATGGAGGTGTTTTCTTAATTCAGGTTCCCTCCTCTCAGAGGACTAACTTGTGTCAAATTTACATGAAACTTTCCAGCACACTTCCTTTATGCATTTCATTTCTTTAAAAGATTTTAAAAAGTGTGTGTGTATGTATGTGTGTGTGTATGTGTGTGTGTGTGTGTGTATGTGTGTGTGCTTGTGTCTATGTATATGTATGCAACTTGAATGGAAACACTGGTGGAAGCCAGAAGAGGACATTGGATCCTTGGAGCTGGAATTATAGATGGAGCTGGAATTATAGAAACTGATCTTGGGTCCTCTGGAAGTGCAGGAAGCATTTTAACTGCTGAGTCATCTCTCATGACCCCTGCATTAACCTCTTAGTGGTTAATAACACATTGTAGCTGATAAACAGGTGGTAGCCCATGATCCCACTTCCAGATCCTTTTGACTTTTGTCAACTACAAGGGAAGTCCCTGGTATAGCTAGTGGCCTGTGACTTGGTGGGCCATGCTTCTCCATATTGACCCTGGTTCAGGCCTTTGCTAATTCTACATCATGGCACTGAGGAGATAGTGCAGTCAGTAAATAAAGCACTTACTTACAAGCATGAGGAACAGAGTTCACCAAGTATGGTGGCACATACATGTGATTCCAGTGCTGGGGAGACAGAGACAAGCAGATTCCTGGACTCAATGGTCAGCCAGCCTCGCTTACTTAGAGAGTTCCAGGTCATGATAGACCCTGTCTCTAATAACTAGAATAGCAACTGAGGGAGCACCCAAGGTTATCCTCTGTCCTCCACAAGTGCACATGAGCCTACACACACACACACACACACACACACACACGCACGCACGCACGTACGCACGCACGCACGCACGCACGCACACCTCTCTCTATACATATGTTTATATTAGTTCAAGCACAGCCTTTTGACTCTTGTGGAATGAAGGTCGTGTCCCTGGAGACTCGTGCCATCTGATAGGAATTCTCCAGCATAGATCAGGAAAACCCGACTTCTCTCCTCTAGCTAGATTGCTTCTCATTCAGTGAGTCCTTGGTGAACAGGTCTTGCTCCAAGGTGGGAAATATGTAAATTCATATGAATCATAATACGTGGATATGCCACCAGTTATGAGGTATTTAAAAACATGAATTAAAAGAGGGTTTGTTCAGTGATGTTAAATAAGGCTAAGAACTGGGACTGGACTAAATGTGTGGAATCAGTGGGGCTTGTGCTGGACATGGCCATTAGGGAAGTGATGATGCTTGCGATCATTAATGATGATTGGTGGTCAAGAGCCACTCACTGTCAACCTGACTATATTTTGAGTCACCTAGGAGATTAGTGAGGTACACTTCTTGACATGTCTATGAGGGCATTTCCAGAGAATTAGCTGATGGGCTAGAATCCACCCTGACTCTGCATCAGCTCCTGCCTCCAGTTCCTGCTCTGTTTGAGCTCCTGTCCTGCCTTCTTTTGCTTATGAACAGATATGGAAATATAAGCCAAATAAACACTTTCCTCCCCAACTTGTTTTTGGTCATGGTATTATGTTGCAGCAATAGAAACCTTAAGTCTGAGCCAAAGGCCTAAGAGCCTGAAGTTCAGATGTCTAAAGGGAGAAGATGCATGTTTCAGTACAGAACTAGAAGAATTTAAATTTGTCTTGACTATTTGTCCTATCCAGGCCTGCAGTGGACTGCAGAACACCTCCATCCATGAGGACTGGGATTCTTCACTCATGCCACTGGTTCCCAATACCCTCATACACATACCCAAAAGGAAGGTTTATCAGTTGTCTGGACATCTTTTAACCCAATCAAGTTGGCACATAAAATTAACCATCTCAGGTTACATAGAAGCTGATTATATATACACTTACCTATAAATGTGTCATTAGGTGTGTATGTATATCTATAAATGTAAATAAGTAAATATAGATGTATTATATGAAAGAAGAGATAGTAATTTGTTTGAAATAGGATTGAGGACTTTGGAAACCACTGAAGGAAGTTCAGTACATTAAAAATAATGGCTGTTGAATTAAGAGTGGATGAGGCTGCTGGGAACACTCCAGATATCAAGGATTCTTTGCTCAGATTGCTTTGCAAGCACTGTTTTTGTTTTGTTTTGTTTTCCCTCCCTTATTATATGCTAGAGGAAATGACCCTAGAACTATCAGGTGGAGTTTATGCAAGAGCTGCATTGTGCAGGGGATTTACACTCCAAGGAAAGGCCTTGCTCCTACATCAAAGGCTCTTTCATTTATTAGTCAGCAGGCATAGACTGCGAGCCCTGTGTATAGCAGCCATGGAGGACACAGACAGGAGTGAGTACAGATGCAGAATGAATGTGCACCATATTAGATTACTTAGAAAACTCACACTGGCCAGTGTCGTGTTCAGGGTTGGCTGTCCTTCCCAAACTCATGTCCACCCAGCCTCAGGCTGTGTCCTCATTTCCAAGCATTGTCTTTGCAGATGTAATTAGTTTAGCTGAGGTGACCCTGGGTTAAAGTATGTGCTTTAGATGCAGTCTGACTGGTTTTTGTAGGAAATCTGCATGGATAGACCCAAGGCACAGCTAAGGGACAATGGCTATGTGAAGATGGGGGTAGAAATTAGGGTGCAGCCCGAGTCCAGCCATGTTGAAAATTGTTGTCAGAAGCCAGGAAGAAGCATGGGGAAGATTACCTTGCTGGACCAGCACCATGTGCATGTGATTAGCATAGGACTCTGTTGTCATTGTCTAGGACCGTGAATTTAAAACACAGAATTCTAATTTTCTTGTTGTAAGAAAATCCAGCATGTGGCAGCTTGTCATAGCAGCTTTAAGCAGCTCATACACATTGATTCATGATTCTTTACCTTTTATTTTTTTGGTTTTTTGAGACAGGGTTTCTCTGTATTGTTTTGGAAACTGTCCTGGAACTCATTCTGTAGACCAGGCTGGCCTCGAACTCACAGAGATCCTCCTGCCTCTGCCTCCAAGATTCTTTATCTTTTGATGGCTCAACACACATCTCTTGTTCCTGACTGTGGGGTAAGAGCACCTCACTGTTCCTGTCTTGGATGTTCTTGTTATATCTCCTCCTCCATTTGTTTCACTAACACCATAGAGTTTTCTCCTTTTCTCTTTCCTTTTCTTCTTTCTCCTGCCCCCACCCTACTGTGCCCCACCCCGCCCCACCCTACATAGTCCTGCTCGTTTATTCCAGACTGGTGTCTTCTCTTTAGCATAAGCTGGGCTTGAACTCTCAGTTCAGCCTTTCAAATGAATGCTGCATTTATGGGTATATGCCACACACCTGGCATCTTCTGCATTATTTTTAGTACATTCAGAATCATGGAAAGTCACCAGCGTGGCGAGTTCAAGGGCGCTTGGGGAAAGCAGTCACATGCTCGCACCACATGGCTGATGCTGTGTTTGCTATCAGGGAAGGCACAGATTAGCTCCCATCTTCACCACTCTCTGCATTTGGTGCATTTCCTCAAGGGGTGTTTATTTCTTGGCTTTTTAAAAATTTCCTGTAAGAAATCTCTGGAGGTAAGCCACAATACTGCTGAATGGTCAGCTTGCAAGGATATGTTTAGGGAACAGATCCAAAGAAGGTGTGCCTGTTACTTGAAAGTTGTATGTGACTTAGTTTTCTTGTGGCTGTGGTATCCACTATGTGGAGGATTGTTTCTTTTTTATTTTAAAATAAAAATGGCGGACATAAACCCATCTTCCTGGCTAAAGTCAGTCATCATAACTGGAGAGGTACATGCACCCTGAAATTGACAAGGGGCTTCAATCATAAATTGATAACAGTTACAGGGGATCTTCACCAATGTTGATTCTTTAAAAATGTATTATTATTATTTCTTTTTAATTATTAAAATATCTTACATGTATTTAATCTGTGTATGTGTTCATGGCCTGGCGCCCCTGTAGGAGTTCAGAGGATAATTTGTGTGAGTCAGTTCTCCCCTTCCTGAGGAATGAACTCAGGTCATCAGGCTTGGTGGTAGTCACCTTTACTGGCTGAACCATCTTACTGGCCCACAATGCTGACTCTGACTACAAGCATACAGCAGCCACAGGCTTTCTTTTGGGATGGAATTGACTTAACCTTGCTATTTCTTTCAACTGCAATGCAGTGTTTAGGACTTTGTCAGGAGATAAAATATTCTTTCAAAGTGGAATTGTCAGGAGATAAAATATTCTTTAGGAGATAAAATATTCTTTCAAAGTGGAATGTGGTGTCTCACAGCTGCCTGATGTGGGAGTGTCTGTCCTTCGAGCATGTGGGCAAATCTTAGTGCCTAACATTCTTTATTTCACCTTTGTGTAAAAGCACAAACA